TGTACCGTGCACTTGCTTCCAGGGGCCTAGAATAGTTTTGTAGATAGGCCATGGCTTTTTGATCAGTGATGCGCTTTTGCATCAGTGCACTGCAAGTGATAAAATACCATGGAACTGTGGTCTGTTTAAATGATCCTCTAGGTCAGTAGAAGCATGCGGGCGATACGCCTACGCCGTATAAATCCGGAGAGTTAATAAAGAATGTTATTTTCTTACCGTCGGTACCGAAACCTACCATTTTGCTGGTAAACTCATAATATCGGTGTTTAGTTTCATTTAAAGAAAAGAAGCTTTTGTAAGCATTGGGAAGCTTAGGTTTTAATTCGTTGAATAAATTCATTCCTCATGATGATCATGTTACGTCTTTCTTCAGGAAATTTTTTCTACGTTTTCGATTTCCTTCTGGACACCTTCATTAGTATGGTCAGTTCCCACCATCGTACCAAACTGGCTGTTTTCAGTGACATTTCTATTTGGGTTAAAGGCTGCTTCAGGTTAACGGTTCACAGAACCTTTCATTCCGGTTAGGAGATGACGCAAACTTCGCTGCAAGTCTTGTATAGGTCTTACAGGCGCCTTCCGTAATAATAATCTAAGAAATCATGGGTAAGTCTCATTTTCATCGTGCTGTCTTCTTGAACATGCTTCGCGGAAAATGTGGACGGCGCTTGATGCATCAGACCAGGAAGTGACGAGAACACTAGCATTATTTACACTATTTGTGGATGGTCAGTCGCGAGGAAATCCCGGGCAAAACGTTTCCGTAAATTTTGTGTATAAATTAAGTTTTTTATAAATAGAGAAACGATTATACCTATTGTTATTATCATTATATTTGAGACTGTTATTTGCCTTATGTCGTTTTCAGGAAGTACTGTAATTCAGGGAAAAACTGATGACATAATGCAGGTACATGTGAGGTCAAATTTGTTGCTATGGCGGATAGCGACAGCCATCTACCTTATCGCAACTTTGTATCATCTCTCAGTGCATTTTTCTCATGCGGTGAATCAGGGAAAATATTATATTCCTAATCCTACGAAGTTTTATACCTGGTTACTTAGCTTAAACTCCACAATCCTTTATCTTTCACCTGGCCTGTCTTCGCTGTAAACTACGAGTGTAAGTCGACGTTCCTCCGATCTGCTGTCATCTCGAACGTTTCTTGACAGGTGGCTGTTTGGCAGTCTCTTATGGGTACAAAACCTGCTTGCCATTGAATAAACTGATCAGCATTATTCAGCAAATTTTTAGTCACATTGTTAATTTACTTTTAGTGTGCTCTTGAAAAGATGGTTTGGAATACTTTGCTAAATTTACTTTCTTTGTAAATTTCGTTTAATTTAATTTTTCTGTATTAAATGTCCATATCAATTGTTTCTTTACTTCAGTTTCATTGTTTTCGTATGTTAATTTAGATGGCAAGCTAAGAGCCGTAATCCTGAAGTTTTCACTTCCGGCTGGTTGTTACGCAACGTGTGCATTACGAGAACTCTGCCGTTTGGATATGTCCAAGAAGTATCAGACCTTCCTGAGTCATCAAAACAAATCGAAGCATGATCAAACAGAACCGATGATGGCATAAATTGGACTGTTTACTGTATCAGTTTTGCAAATGATTTAATTTTGAAAAAAATGAAACTTTTTACTTCTTCGGTGTATATTCATGTTGCATGCTTTGAATCGACGGAATTGAAGGTATTTTCAACCTCAGTGAAACAATGAAGTCAGTCCAGTCATCGCGTTAAGTAGCGTTTATTGGCGAAGATGGTAAGGGGGCAATATTTCGTTAAACACCATTCACCAGCCCATTCGAACAGGCAATAGCAACTCAGAAATGCTAGAAGAAAGCAAGTTCGCAAAGTACCCCTCTATTCATTTCAAGATCGGAAGTCAACTGCTAAAGACTTTATCTTAGTTTCCTTCGGTGCTGAAGCATAGGGAATTACTTTATGTAAATTGTTAGTTCTCGAATTTCACCATTACATTATTGTATGCGTGCCTAAAATTCTACTGTCCTGCCATTCGTTTTGTCTTATTCCAAAACTGTGTCGCATTATTTCTCATTATCTTTGCTACATGATGTTTAGCCTGAACCTCGATTTAACGTTCATCATCCCTGAATGCGATATGGGACATTTTGGAGATGCACAGAGTAAATCAAATGTTCTGTTTGGTTCGTGCTCTTAGCCTCGTTGTAAATGTGTTCACTCAGAGTCAAGCTTTTCACACAGACTTCTTGAAATCCTTGTTTAAGTTTTCCGATAATCAGAAATGAATGACAAAATATGGTAATGAAGTAGGCTATTTTTTAGTTTAACGGACCTAGTAATTTATGATTAACATCTTTAGAATTAACGTTTTTCCGTGAGGAATTTTTCTATATTCCTACTTCTGCATTTAACCACTGACTGTTCCAATCAGCAAGAGCTTCTTTCCTCCAGGCAAA